GTTGTTGTTGCATGGTAAAAGACAATATCTTTAACTTACCTATTAACCAAGAATGCTATCAGTTTTAAAATTTTTTTTGATAAGAAGTGATTGTTCTGTATCAACAATTATAGTACAAGCAACTTTATATGGTCATGAAATTTCTGTCATTGGTATTGTCAGATTATTAAAATATCCTTAGACTTTTGCGTTGTGTGTATTTAAACATGGGATAATATTTTCAATTTTCTATCCCCCCTTTTTATTTTGTTACTTTTCAGATCCGCGTTAAAATATTTTAAAGAATAAAATAACCGTAAACGAATAAATAATTTTATAACATATATATATATATATATATGGAAATGAATCACATGGATGTTTAAAAGGAACTTCTTTCATGACCCTAAGGTACGAGTGAGATATTTCACCTTTAGTTAATATTTCTTCAAATGAAGAACAAAACATTATTTCTAATTTATAAATATATTGTACGAAGTCCTCACTTGGAGTTCTCAGTCCCCCATAATCACATTTATCAATATTGTATGCTTTAAAATGTGTCAATAACAAACTACTATCTAGTTCTTCTATTTCTTTTGAATATTTAATACATATATGACAAACATGAATATTGAGAGCCTTTTTAATTAAATAACCACATACATATTGAAAGGCATTTTGGGTTGTTAGTTTTTCTGTTCTGTAGTCAAAATCTGGAAGCGAAATAGCCTTCACTGGAGAGTATTGTTCACTACAAGTTTTTTTTTACATTGAAATCCATTAAACGTTTATCTAAATCATCTTTGCAATTCATTTTGTTAGAATGCATAAAATTTTGACAAAATAGTTTTTTAAATGCCCTCTGAAATTGTATGGGAGTTGGATTGATGGAATTTCCACCTTGTTGTCTTATACTACCAAAATAATTTTCCACGCAGTCTTGGTTAAGTCTTCTTGTTTTTAAGTATTTAAAATCATGAGACTTTAAGTTATCCCAAAGCTTTTTAACACCATTCATTGTTACAATCCAACACTTTTTTGATCGCGAACGACATGTTACATCTTTTCCTGTTTTATCTAATATTTTCAGTTTATGTACCAAATCTATCATAGAATCTAGGTAATTGATTTGAAAATCAGTTCCCTCAAATACATTTTTAAATTTGTTAGGATTATTGTTATCAGTAGAATTTAAAATATCAAACGAATTATTAAATTTTTCAATAATTTCTATTGTTCCCAATGCATCTGATGGAAGAATACCAAGAGAAATATATGTATACATAGAACTTGCAACAGTGTTACTTAAAATTTGAGATGCTAGTTTTACTCGCATTTTTTCAAAAGATGTAGGATATATATGGGAGTGTGTTAGTTTTGGTGCACACTTATATAACTGCTTTTTATCTTCATGATAAAAAGTTTCTATAAATGACCAAGATGTTTTTTTATCATCAAAATAAAAAACATTATTAATTAAGTTATTTCTAGTGGCTTTAATTAAATGACATGGATCAAATATATAAATAATTTTTTGTCCATTGACATCAAATTCTGAGTTAGTTGGAGAAATCCCCAGTAATTTACTCAATTTTAGAAAATTCGATCCCATATCAGTAACAAGACAATTCACATATAAACCTGATTGAAATAGTTTAGAAATACATTCTTTTATAATAGGAAGAAGATGATTTGCTTCAAAGGTAGTGTTTATAAAGAAATATGGTAGTTGTTGTTTCCAATTTGAATATAAGCCTCGAACCATTATCACAAGTACATTTTGTGCAATTATTGATTCCTTTTTCCCATTTCCTATATCATATAGACCAACAATCTCATCACGACCTGTATCAAAAAATAAATTACTTTTAATAGACATTTCATCAATACAAATACTACAGTGCTTGTCCTGATCTAACATTGTGTTCACTTTTAACGTTAGGGCATCAAATATTTGGTCATTATTCAAACCAGGTTTACAGACCAAATTTTCAGTAATTTTTCGAAGACTTCGTTTTGAGGGCAAATACAATATTTTTTCCATAAAAGCATACGCTCTTGGGCCCAAAAAATATAGTGTTAATGCAAATTGTTTATATTCATCAGAATACCTTCTACTTTTTGGACATTTAGTTTTTAAAATTGCTTGAGCTTTCACTGCTAGGGATTTGTTTAAAAATTTGTCACACATTTGAAAAAATTTTTTTAAAGATTTATGGTCTTCCTTCTGTTTGGAAGACGCATATGCTTTCTTTGCACTTGCACGTAATTTTTTTATTTTTAATCTAAGTTTTCTTTTTCTTGGTGTACCTCCCGACAACTTGGAGGGGGTTTGTGTAGCAGCTGTGAAAAATGGAGCTGGAGTATGGGGCCTAGGTGGGCTAGACACTTCCTGCCTATTAACATCTGAAATATAAAAATATATTTAATAACCAAATAACATATAAACATTCAAAGTAGATATGTTAATGCTTATTAGTGATTAGTTGAATGCATAATACAGTAGTAGCAATAAATAAAATTACCTTTTACCAGAAACTCTTCCATCAAAGTATCAGGTATATTATTATGGTTTTTATCAGTTGGACTATTAATAATTACTTCCTGTACATTATACGTTTCAGTGGTACCTAAAACAACGACATAAATATTACTCAGTATGTAACCATAAGATATATTATGTTCTTAATAAGGCTGATAAAAGATCATTAAAAAATCCAGATCTTGTTTATATTATGAAAAACAACAAACAACTTTGTATATAGTTGTAAGTAGATACTGATTTTTATATGACTTTTATAATAAAGCACTATAATTGTGAATAAATAAAAAGTATCTACCTTCCAGCCTTATGACTTTCTTTAATGGTTCGTCTGTGTGTTTTGAATATTGGCTGTGTGAGAAAATCGTTGGATGTGCTTGTTGAAATAAATACTTCCGTGTGTTTCCTTTGTACATGTACACCAGTTCAAAATGTTTCTCGCAGATTCTATAATTAGTATGCAATTCAGCACCCTTGGAAAGTAGATCATATCTATTGGCCGCTTTCAGCCATAATTCAGCTCTAAAAAAAAAGTGTATTTAAGTAACTAAAATATAAACATTCAGACAACATTTGTAATACGTTTGAATTTAAAATTTAATTTGTTTACCTGCTACGATCAGTCGGTATTGAAAAGAGACTAATTCCTTCCCCAGTTTTCGATGGGCACCCACGAACAACACAATAAAATCCTCCCTTTCGTGCAGCCATCACAATAAGTTTATTACACAAATATATTAAATTAACTAACTAACTAAATAACTAACTAACTAACTAAATAACTTCTCAATACAATACAATAACACTTCTCAATATATAAACAACACTACTAACACTATGGCCGATTTCGCACATGCACAAAGAAATTTGGATTGCGAAAAAGCCCTCCGTTTCGCTTCTTGTTGTGATTAGTATTCTGTGGTATAGCTATTATCGTGATCATGTTCTAATTTATTATTAAGTTCTTCCTGTGCTTTTTGTCGTATTATGTAAATTTACTTGGATTTTAAGATATTTTACAGAGTTCTTTTATAACAAATTATCTTCATTGGACATTGTTTTCAATTGGAATTCCCAACCCTAACTACTTTCAAAATGTTTTCTGTAGCTTTATTGATTCTGACAACTCTAGAATTGCATTTGTTTTTGCAATCTTCATTTATTCTAATTTTTAGATTTTCAGATTAGTTATAGTTGCTGCATTTTGCTCTGGTCTTTTTGTATAAAAAGATAAGAGTAGGCTACTTTAGGGTTTGTTCTTTAATATTGAAAAAACTAATCAATTGACTAACATGTTTTATTAATAATAGGTTAAGTATTTATTATAAAAGAATTCTGGTGCATAATAACAAGTAGCCATTCTCTCTGTCTTGTGTCATACTGATGAGTGTCTTTCCCCTATTCTCAAGTAATTATTGGAATTTTGATGAAAATACAATAGACTCATTATTGCGAGGGCAGGGCAAGTATGTTAAGATTAATGAAAAATCATGGAATGACCTGAGCATCCCAGACTAATTGTTCATAAGTGCAATCTGAATGAAAAAAGTAAAAATTATATTTGGTTACACTTTCTCTCTCGTCTCATTTTTTGAAAGCAAAAAAAATATTTTTAGTTTTTTGTTCATTGTCATTTAATTGATTTGATTGAAAGCAATTACAAACAAATGTATAAGATTCTGAGATAATATGAACTGCTGATTAAGTACCTACTGATTAGATTATTCCGTGAGAAATACAGAACCAAACTAGAACATGCAGGAGAAATGACCCAAGAAATATTGATACAGGGAGACATTAAGAGAGTATGCATCATTCCTCCAAATCTGTTTTAAGTTGTGAAAAAATATCTAATAAAAGTGCAGGCATTTTATAGAATTTACACAACCAGATGTAAAAATGATCAATAAGCTTACTCAATATTCTAATATAATGAGTTTCAAAATAAATAGGGAGAAAACAAAACTTTGTAAACAAACCATCAGCTAGGAAATAAAAATTGCCTAATCAAAGAGAAATTTATAGTGACAGATTCACATATCTGGAGTCAAACATGAAAAAAGTGGATGCAGATTAGATAGAGAGAAAAAAATAACAAAAGCTCAACATTTATAAACTCCTCAAAGAAAATATATTATCTGAATAACAAAGATATAAATATTCCACAGTTGCATTACCAATATTCTCCTGTATCATTCAGAGACTTAAACAGGACTGGATAATAACTGGTAAAAAATCACAATAAGAGAACATGAAAGAATTAGAATGAATTGGAGAGAACTCAAACAAAGAGCAAGAAATAGAGAGGACACATAGAGGGAATGACAAATAGGATGTGCTGATTTAGCCCATCATAATTATTGATAGTATAAAGCCAGTTCATATTATACTCAATTCACAAATGAAAGTGTCACACAGGCTGAGATAAAATACTATTGCTTCCTATAAATTTTAATTTAGTTACATAGATACTAACCTCTATGAACTATGAAATGTGCAGCAGCTAGTTCATTGCCTAATATCTGATGTCTTTCAGGTATATAAGACTGTAGAACTTTTGATTCATGTTCTTTTTTCTTAGCCCACCATTTCTTTATTGCAGCTGGAGATAAGTCTATAGGAGCTTGAATTTTTTGAAGAAGGCTGGTATTGGTCTCTTCTTTGTAAAAATTTCTCAAAAAACTATAATACTGTCCCTCTTTTTGATGCCAAGGCGTTCTCCATTTCATATCGGCGGGTCTAACATCTTTGGGAGAATACTTTGGTTTCTGAAGTTCTTTTGATTTTTCTTCGAGTTTTGAGGATAAAGATTGTTCCGGATTTGATGATAACTTAGAACTGCTTAAATATAAATTGAAGTTACGTGTTGATTTTATAAAGTTTGAAAATTTAATCATGTTGTAATTTTAATTTTGTTCTTCTTCTTCTGTCGTCGTGTCGTCTGTTTTATGGCCTCCACCTCTTAGTTAGGTACGTGGCCAGCTCATGTAACTAGTGTCTAGAGCCTGACCTAGGGATACGAAACTATCGATACACTATCGATAATTATCGAAAATCAAAACTATCGAATACTATCGATAGTATTTTAAACTATCGAAAATAATCGATAGTGTCATGTGTCATGGTCTTGAAAGCCCGGAAACAAGTATGAAGTGTGTTTATTTGTTTTTGTTTATTTGTTTATGTCATTGTGGTTAAGTTAACTGTTAAACTCATTTACCGTTATTCCTTAATCTTTGATAATTAATAAAGTTTATTTAATTGTTGTTAGTGTCTGTTGGATACAATATCTTGCTATTTATTGTTCAATCCACGTACTTGAAAGGATTCTGCAAGAGGTGACTTAACTGTTTTACTATGGATAAATTTTTAATTTCGACAAAACGTAAAAGCAATGGTAAGTGAGAATATTGTTTTAATTTTGTCTTTGCTAATAAGATATTATTGCTATATTTTAGTATCTGATAGACCAGAAAGCGAAGAAAGTGACCAAGGCTCTAGCTCTACCTCTGTTAGTTCAACTCCTCAAAGGAAGAGACAAAAAATGTCTTTAGTTTGGAACTACTTTACAAAGTCCTTATTAGACAAAAAGTTTGCTAAGTGTTGCACTTGTGGCAGAGAGTATAAAACAAGCGGAAATACAACGAACCTAACTGATCATTTAAAAAGGTTTCATCCCAATTTAAATAAGCCACTATTAGAAACATCAGGTAGTTAAATCTCAGGGTTGTTTTATTTAAAGTAATAATTTTAATGTTTTTAGGTGAAGATGAAATAGGCAAAGAAAATTATGCAAGATCAAATGTTCGTTCTATAAGCCCCTTTTTTAGACGAGAACAAGAGTATGATGCTAACTCTCAAAGAAAAAAAGAATTAGATAAGGCTCTTGCAATGATGTTGGCTACAGACTTTCAACTGTTTTCTATTGTAAAAGATAGTGGATTTATAAAATTTGTCCAGTTATTAGATCCAAGATATGTACTTCCATCACCTGACACTTTAAAAAATACTGTGTTGAAAAATTTGTATGATGACGGAGTGAAAAAACTTACTACAATTTTAAACGAAATAAAATATGTGGGTCTTACGACAGATATTTGGACCTCATCAGCTAACGAGTCCTATATTTGTTTAACGTGCCATTTTATAAACAAAGACTGGGAAATTAAAAAGGCTGTTTTAAAAACAAAAGTAATGGATACTAATAACACATCAGAAAATATAGCAGATTGCATAAGAAAGATTTTAGACGAATACAAAATATCTGATAAAGTATCATGTATCGTAACGGATAACGCGGCTAATATGATAAAAGCTTGTGATCTGTTACGAAAAAAACATTTACCATGCTTTTCACATACGCTAAATCTGGTTGTCCAAGATAATCTAAAGAAGCCAATTACAGCAGATGTGTTAAAAAAATGCAAAGAAGTTGTTACTTATTTTAAGTCTAGCTGTGTTGCATATAAAAAATATATAGAGGAGCAAAACCAGCTTTGGAAGGGAACAACAAATGAGGGAAAAACACCATATAAATTCTTACAAGAGGTTCCCACAAGATGGAACAGTGTTTATTATATGATAAAACGAATACTACTAATATCAGATGCTATAAATAATACATTACTAAAGCAGCGAAATGCTCCTGGTCCCTTTTCTGTCGATGAGCTTAGCGTATTAGGTGATTTGGAGAAAATCCTTTATATTTTTGAGGATGCTACAGAAAAAGTGTCAGGTGAAAAGTATATAACTGTGTCACTAATAGTTCCTCTTGCATTTGGTATATACAATTATTTAACATCTTTACAATTGAACACAGAAATTGGACAAGAATTCTATACTGGTGTAATTGATTCTGTTAGAAGGCGGTTATTTAACTTCGAAACAAGATCAATTCCCAAAATTACTGCTTTATTGGACCCCAGGTTTAAAAAAGATGGCTTTAGAACCACTGAAAATGCCAATCAAGCAGCCAATCTGTTGGAAGAGGAAATGGCAGCCATTATTTCAGGGAATAGAAAAAATACTCAAGAAGAAAATGTCCCAAATAATAGTTCCTCATCAACAGTAACTAGTTCGAGTAGCGTCATTTTTAATTTTTTAGATAAAAAAAATAAGGACAAAGCAACAAATGTAAAAGCGGATGCCATAATTCAAAAGAGGCAGTATCTTGAAAGACCCAATTTATCTGGAGATACTGATCCTTTATTATTTTGGAAGGTAAATATTGTAAATTATAAACATAGATATTTTAAAGATTTCAGTTATTTTGTAGGTGAATGGAAGAGAATTTGAACCGATGCAAGAACTGGTTCAGAAATATTATTGCATACCTGGATCTTCTGTCGAGTCTGAAAGAAATTTTAGTACAGCAGGGCTCATTTTAAATGATCGCAGATCCCGACTAAAATCCAAGTATGTGGACCAATTAATTTTTTTAAATAAAAATTATTGGTTATTCCAATAATTTGTATTTTTTAATTTATACTCAAATAGTAATAAACTATATTTTATTAATAAAATTTTGTTATTACCCCTCCAGTATATTTCCATAAATTTTGTCAAAAAACATATTAGAGTTATTGCAAATGTCAATAAAGGATCCTTTAATAAAGTACAAACACAAATATATCTTCAAGAATCGATATTGAATAAATTTATAAATAAATACATTAGTGACGAATTGTAAGTATTTTCTTATAAGCACATGATATTGGTGTTTCATTTTAAAAATGAGTTTTTTAATAAAAACTATTCATATATAAATATTAATCTATAAACCATTAAAACTTCAAAAATTAAACCTTTTTCATTGTGTTAACTTGTATATATTGTTAATACACTTGGTGTTAGATATCTGTTGAATGAAATATTTACTCTACTTTTGAACCCGGAATTTTAAAAAAATTTAAACTATTGCACAATGTTTGTAGCATATTTGTGCATAAAAATTTATTGAAATTAGGTAGGTAGGTATGTATATAAAAATAATTTATTTCTATACAGTCATGAATTTAATAAATGAGTTATAAAGAAATCTATCCTGTATGTATGTCTATGATCATTGTAATAATAGTTATTAAACACTTTGTTAAACAAAGTTGTTTATAAATTCCTTAAAGGTATAATAACTGGAGCTTCAATAAATATGTTCTTTTTTTAAATTGATTTGGCTCAAAACATTAAGAATATACGTCTGATATAAACTTTTATTTGTGAGTTCCTGTTAATAAATAAAACAAAACAACAAACTTGATCAAATACAAATTATATTTTTTGGATCCTATATCTAACCCTAACCAAACATTTTTGTTAATTTGTTACAAATTACAAACAAAATGTGGCACGTGACACGTGATGTGATGATAAATAGAAGTGAAGTTAGAGCTCTTCTTTTTTCTTCACATAATTTGACAAATTATGTCAAAATAAACGGTCTTGGCCTGCATTTTCCAAGGACGTATATTGGGCAATACTGCGCGTGCGTATATGTCAAAATAAAGGACTATCGAAAACTATCGATAATTATCGATGTTTGCACGCTTACCTATCGATAACTATCGATAGTGGACACTATCGATAGTTTCGTATCACTAGCCTGACCCATCGAGCAATAAGACAAAAGAGGGAATGTAAAGGTAGAAGGGGTAAACATATTAATAGACAGGAAGTGCCATCTTGAGAGGCCACTTTAAACAAGGAAAGACAGTCTCTTTCCTTGTTTAAAAGTCAAATTTAGTTTGGTTATGTTATTGTTTGTCCCAACTGTCACATGAAATTTTATTTATATTGAAGTTTTTTTACCAATTATGTCACTTTTTAGACTATTATCGTTAATATTTAATTAAAACTTTCTTGTCTGAAAAATATTTTACAGGTATTGTTAACAAGTGTTGGAAAATTTAAATTTCGCGCATTCGCATTTCCGGATATGTCCGCCATCAGAGGCCACTTTTTTGGTCTCCTTTTCATAACGATTAGATTCCCTCTTTTATCTTTTTGCTCGATGGCCTGACCACAGAATAATAAACAATCAGAATGCCCATTCTCCATGGAAAATTAAGTTACGAGCGTCTCTTTCGCGCAGACGTTCCGCCATGTTTTAGAGGGAACCAGTGTTGTTTATGTGGTGTGCATAGACAAAATTAACCCGGTTTAATTGACTTAGGTAGATTACAATCATAGACATACTATACAATTATATTTACATTGTTAAATATAATAACATAAATATAATAGAATTAAACATAAATATAAACAATGGGGAACTTGCATAAAAATTAAATTCCAAAAATATTACTGATAAACGTTATTTAATGCTGCTAAGAGAACCCCAGTTTACCAAAAAACTCATATTTTATAATTATGAAATAAATATAAGCAATTAAAACTGCAGCGGTTGTGACGTCACACCGTCCTTTGGTCATCCCTATAAACGGGTAAAAACGATAAGTATTGCAACGCTGCAACTGCAAAGGTATTGCCTAACCTTGTTCTTACCTAAGCGTCTATATTCTTTGGTACCACAGAATACTAATCACAACAAGAAGCGAAACGGAGGGCTTTTTCGTAATCCAAATTTCTTTGCGCATGTGCGAAATCGGCCATAGTGTTAGTAGTGTCACAGAACACTAATCACAACCAGAAGCGAAAACTTTGTCGGAACCTTTGATGTTGGGAGGACAGAAATTCAGAGTGACAGTAGCAATGAACCTACATTTGATTACACGAAGAAAAGTAGTGAGGAAGTCGTTCAAAACTGTGGTAAATGATAGCTACACTGAGAAATGAAGTAATCATTTTTAAGTAATCTGTTTTGTATGAATTTTATTTTTTCTGTAAAATTTAATATAACTTATATATCAATTCTGAACTGATAATTAAAAAGTTGTTAGTCAAAGTCAAAAATATCGATTTGTTTTTTTTTAACA